GACTGAATCAATGGAGAAAGTCATTTGTTAGGTCAGATAGTAGGTTGTTTAGAATTTGCAGGTGGTGCAGTCATACAAACACATGAGAGGTCAGCACATTCTCCCATTGCAAACACTTGATTGTAAGCGGGAGGTGGACTGCTGGGAACGCTACGACAACGTGGACAGCTGGAAGCTGTGTTTTGATTTGTAGCAGCATCCGGCTGAGGAACATGACCAGTCGTAGGATGAACGCTTGGATCATCCTTGAGCAGTTTGTATAGGAAGTAAATAACCACACACATGAGAAGCAACCCTCCGGTACACGATCCTCCGATTAGCGTTTCGCCTGAATTTGTCACAACATTGGAGAATTCTTCCAGTCGTTCATCTTCAGGACACACACCTGGAAAGGACAGCAAAACATGAGACTGAAAACTTCGCTAGATCATGACAAAGAAGCTAACAGCCTCATCTTTAATTAGTTTAAGTTTGTCTGATTTTCTACTTTGGCGCTACAGCCAACTGAGAAGAATTCGTCTTAAGAGTTTCTATTAGAGAAAAATGCAACATTTACTTGCAGAGGTTAGCTAGTTTTCAAGCAGGTCCCCTTTCCTGGTCGAATTGGAATTTGGAGTGTTGGAGAGTTTTTCCTTTTTTTCTTTTGAGTTGTGAGTGTCTCACAACACAACGGACTGACTAGCTGGTTTTACCTTATAGAGGGGGGCATTAGGGGGTTTTGTTGGAGTTGTGAGTGTCTCACAACACACAACAGACTGACTAGCTGGTTTTACCTTATAGAGGGGTTCTGAACATGAACATGAGGGGGTTCTGAACACCGCAAAAAGTTCAGCAAATACTGCAATATCCCAAAAATAATGCCGAGTCGAAGTTCGATGTTCTATCGAAACCAGTACTCTGTATGCTGAGTACTCTGTATGCTGCGTTTAGAGCAAATAACACGGGAATAACAATCAAGAATTTGTTGATGAACGGTAAGTCACGTTATTTTAATGTAGACAAAATAATCAAAATATGTGACATGTATTGCCGTGTCGGCTAATAATAAGCAAAAACTAACTAACCCTTTTCCAACTGGGACACAAGGAATTGCAGTTTTCCGTTACCATAAGAGCTAAGCTTCATTTGGGTATATCGTCCAATCGGAAACTGGAAAAGGATCAGAAAACGTTGGAGGACTAGGAAGATAATTTCTAACACGCATCCTGCAGGTTCGGAGAATACCGCAATACTGCAATACGAGATTAACATGTCGAATCCAAGTCGCGTCGAATAAATTTTAAAAAAAGGTGGGACAAAGAGTGTGGTAACAAACGTCGAACCTGCGTCGATCCCATTTCACAAGTTGCACTTCATTAAGACACGGGAATAAGCACATGTCCCCGTGCTATTCACTCGATGCGCGCTAGTTGCTGCTAGGACTTGCTAGCGAAATGCCGATACTCTGCTCTTCAGACAACGGTAGACCCGGCGCGGCTCTCGCTGGGGCCCTGTCACAAGCCTCTCAGTATGCAAAGCTTTTACCGGCTGTCCATCCCTCAATGTCTTCGTTTTCTTCAAGCACTGAGCATTTATTGCAAACAGGCAATTCGCATCTCAAGCATTTATATGTAGCGTTCATGAAACAAGAACAACACACTCATCAGCAATGACTTTCGATAGCTCGCCATTTCCGGCATTCTCGTCCCCAGAGGCCGCGCTACTTTTGGTCAGCACACAGTGTGCCCTTGTTAACAAAATGACGGCCGCTTCTTGGCGTTTTCGACGTGTTTGTGAAGAGGATTTACATAAAGTTTTGAACGACAGGTAGATTTATACTAAAACAATTAGATTATTCGCTCTAGATTTCTATCGCGTGATAGTCCTCGTCAACTATCACGTGATAGAAATTCCGAGCTCATAATCGAATTGTTTAATATTTTAAATGAATTCGTGATTATTACTTTTTTTTTCTTTTTGCGAGGAATTGCTTTGATAACACAAAGCCAGCGTTTAGCTATTCACGCTGAAATGGGGTCACGCCGAAAGGTTAAACGACTTCCTTGGTGACCAAGAATATCAACAATTCACGTTACTTGTGCTTCACTGGAAATAACAAGCACGTTTTTCAGAAACAGCCGACTTAACAAAGTTACAGCATGAAACCAAAGGGAGTTTAGTTTCCATTGTTCTTATAAATAATTGTATCAGGATAGCGCGGAGCTATAAAGTTTGGAACCCGGGG